CAGCGAGTAAAAAGTACAACGTTGTCAGGTGTGGTCCTTTTCAGGTCATTCTATCTGCGGCAGTTAGATGACAGTAGTGGTGACTGAATAACGTAATTTTCGGCACCAACAACCACTAATCTGAAAACAAAACAGTAACGTAACAATGGCTGGAATTAACAATGCACCACAATTAAAAGATAATGATGACATGCAGGAATTTAAATCCAGGTTCGACCAAATTTTTGAACGCAATACAGGTCTTCAACCAACCGATACCCACTACAATCCATTATATAAATACAGATTTTTGGACTATCTGCCTAAAATTGTACGAGACATGGTTGAGACTTCCTGCGTTGCGCTGAAAACATCTTACAAGATTTCCATGCACATGTAGAACATGCATGAGACAGACATCAGGCAAATAAACAAAAAGATAAGTTTTTGTCTCATTGCCAAGTAAAGAATGGTGTGATCAGGGAGCTAGGCTCAGCAAAGAAAACAATGGCAACAGAATGATGAATCTGACCATGAGGAGGGAAATGACAAGTGCTATAATTGCGGTAGGAGAGGGCATTTTGCGAGAGCGTGTACAGCTGCACGCAGACAGAAGAAACAATCACAACGACAAAGGTGCTAGAGCACGTAGGGGAAGATAAGATGGTAACAGAACTGATGGGCGCCGCCTATACAAACCATAAAATGATAAACAGCAGAAAAAAACTGTCACCAGACAGACATGGCCACAGTGTTTGGACATGGTACGATTGATTGTAAATACAACCAGAAGCTCAAGCACTGGGTTAACTCCATTTGAATGTGTCTTTCACCGACCATTTACTTTTCCACAACTAACTGCATCCTTACCAGAAAATGACAAGAATGATGATTTGCATGTTTATTTGAGAAATGCTGCAAAAAGAAAAGAACAGATTGAATCTGCCAGCAGCAGCACACAATTTAACTTATTGTTATGTTTGTTCTTTTGTTCTAATCTTACTGCTTCTGTGCTACATCTTGCTGAATTTGTTAAAAATGATTCTGAAAAGCATGCTTAGAAAACCATGATTATGCAAATTTGCATGGCATCAGACTTCCTTCCAGCAGAGACCAACCAGGGCACACACCCCTCCACCCCCCTCGTGGAGGGGGGGGGGCCCCGGGTAGTGATTATTGTTGTACAATTATTCCTGATTCTGACTGAAGTGCAAGCTTTACAGGAACATCTCCAAACACAAAAAGATGATTCACATTGGACAAAAATTGTGTAATACCGTGCATTAAGTCAAGGATTGCTAAAATGGTATCACCTCAGCTGTGAAGTGTTCAACTGTGCTATAGTTCCGAAATGATGCCTGTGCAGAAAATCTAATTGAAGTTGTGCATGACTGATAATGAGAAGTTGTTCTATTTTACAGTCTTATTGATATGTAAAACAGCAGGGAATGTTGAGATATTCTAAATACATTTGTTCAATCTTTACAATATATTCATTGTATTAAGTTTACATATCAATTTATACTGTTTGTTTTTGTAAATAGAATTTATAGTTAGTTACCAAAGTGTGTTAAACCAAAGTGTGGTGAACCATAAACTGTTATCTAAGTGTGTTAAATAATGATCTTCTTGACAGGAGTAGGTACCCCTAAAAGGTTTTTTACTATGTAGGTCCATAAAGGATGAGGTCTGTTTCTCATCAAGTATGGGAATTGGATGAACCTGCCCTGAACGATGCCTTGGGAGTAAAACTGCGAAACTGTGAAACTTTCTCAATAAAAGGAGCTGCACTCCTCATACACTTTGGGACTTAGGTGAGCCAACTCTGCGAAGCTGTTGGTCTCTCTGCTCCCCCTCGAAGCGAGTAAAAAGTACAATGTTATCAGGTGTGGTTCTTTTCAGGTCATTCTATCTGCAGCAGTTAGATGACAGTGGTGGTGACTGAATAACGTAATTTTCGGCACCAACAGGTTTTAAATGCTGTACTAAAAGGAGAAGTCCTGAAGAAAGGTGTGCATGCTGATGGTTTACATAACAGGATGGTGTATGGTACGGATGGCACTGACTGTTACGCTTGGAAATAGAGACAGGTCACAGAACCGGCCTGAACCAGTCTCTCTGCCCAAATAATGAGGAAAACAGAACATCAAAAAGGAAAAGAATCCAAAGTGCATTTCTTTGATCTAACCTGAGTTACTGAGCAGAATAGCTCAGCATGTGTACATGTTTTCTATTGGTGGAGAACCTTTGTTTGGAGCAGCCTTTGCCAATCAGCGCTCAGAAGTGGCGCATGAACACCACATGGCTGTAAAGGGTTAAGGTGCTGACCATTGATGTGTATGTAAAAGAACTGTATTGAAGCTTTGAGCACTGAGGAGTTCCTCGGGAGTTCCTGAGGTAATTTAAGACTTAGTGAATCAGTACATACCTCATTACGGGTTTCCTAAAGTGGTAAGATCCGATAATGGAACTCATTTCAATAACAAAGCATTGGTGACATAGATTTGGCACTGTTTATCACCCTGAGTCTCAAGGGAAAGTAGAAAAACAGAATGATAAAAGAAAAACTCAGTAGAATTCTGAGACATACTGGCATGAATTGGGTTAGTGCCCTTCCATTGGCATCACTGGCATGCAGACAATCTTTAAACAGAAAAACCGGATTCACCCCATTTGAGTTATTGACAGGATGCCAGGACCCACATCCTCTCTCACCCCTCATCCTACCCCTACCCCTCCTAAGATGGCGTACAAGCCATATTGGGAAGTTCTAACGTCTCTTGTGGACGGAGTGAGACGGGATCCAGACGAACCAGCAGGTCTCCCTCCAACCCATGTATACCTGAAAGTGGCACCAACACAGGTGGGACAGACCATACCAAGTAACGGCCAGACTCAAGAGGAGACCTAGAACAGAACTTTTGCTTGGACAATATTGTATTAAGTTGCTTAGTCATCATAATCATAATCACAATCACTTGCTGGTGTGAAATTTCAGCAAGAACTGGTATAAGTGAGTGACCTTTTAACAAAGGTCACAAGGAGAAATTGTAGGAATGTTAATGCTACACAACATCAGGCCAGGACTCCACCTGAAGGAGAAGGGCCACTCCTTTGATGATCAAAAGGTGCACATTCTAGCCAGAGAGGACAGTGCACCATGGGGCCAACAACTCACATGACCATATAAAGGTCATATGGTTTTGAGCCCATTTTGGACACCACACCCCTCTTTTGGGGTGAATAGATAAATACCTGGCAACTCCCCACCAAGACAGAACCAAGAACTAATGAAGTCTCTTGGATGAGAGGCGAAACGTCTTCGATTTACTTGAGGTGAGTCCAGTTGCCTACTTTTGATGACTGAGAATATCTACAAGTATGCATACTCACTGCAGTGTATATCCCCCCCGAATGCTAATGCTAAGCTGGCTATGAAAGAACTTTATGCAGCCATTAGCAAACACCAGACCAAACACGCTGAGGCTGCTTTTATTGCTGCTGGTGACTTCAACCATGTCTCCTGCCACACCAGAGGGGGACACGACTTTGGACCATGTTTATTCCAACCTGGGTGGAGCATACAAAGCAACACCCCTCCCCCACTTTGGACAATCAGAACACCTCTCCCTGCTCCTCACACCTCGGTACTCACCACTCACCAACGTGTGAAATCCACTGTGAGGACAATAAAAGTGTGGCCACATCTTCACCACCAGGAGGTAGAGGTCGTGGAGACCTATAAATACCTTGGGCTGGGGTTGGACAACAAGCTGGACTGGGCACACAACAGTAGGCAGCTGTACAAGAAGGCCCAGAGTAGACTGTACTTCCTGCGGAGGCTCAGGTCTTACAACGTTTGCAGGAAGCTCCTGAAATTGTTTTATCAGTTTTATCATTTAATTACTCAACCATTTATACTGTTCATATATTCAAACTATTTATATACTTGTTCACATAACATCCTTATAATTATACTAGTTCTGCTTAAATTAGTATTGTGTAGTAATTGTTAACAATGGTAAATAATAATTGAGATTGCAGTCAACAACACTATACTCGGCAACAATATTCACCTACTAATCTACCAATACTATCTATCTACAAGAGCTACTCTTGTTTGTATGTTATTGTACTTTATTTTATTGTATTTTACCTATCCATGTGTACCTTGGGGAACTCCCAAGGTATTAATAAAGTGCTATCTATCACCCCGGTGATTGGCCTCATCAAAGACAGTGACCAGGCCGCCTACAGAGAGGAAGTGGGTCGTCTGACTAAGTGGTGTGACTCCAACAACCTGCTGCTCAATACTGAGAAGATCAAGGAGCTCATTGTGGACTTCAGTAGGAATGCTTAGCCACATACACCCATTCACATCAAAGTGGTGGCAGTGGAGCGTGTGAAAAGCTTAAAGTTCCTGCGAGTCCACATAAAGTTCCTCCGAGGATCTCACCTGGACGACCGGCTGCTCCGGGCTGGTCAGGAAGGCTCACTAGCACATCCTCTTTCTGAGGACTCCTGGTAAACTTCTACCGCTGCACCATTGAGAACAACATACATATCTCACTTGATCTCAACTGCACTACTGTAAATACTGTATAGATAATCCTGCTGTATACAATAATTATAAATACTTGTACCCATACCTATAGCCTGTTACAACCTGACATATACTTATATTTATAGTCTATTTATAGCCCCTGTTCACTACATTATAGAACAATATTCATGTTTATATCGCCCTCAAACAATATACAGCTGTAATATATTTTTGCTAAAGCACATTTGGATGGACGCAAACTGCATTTCGTTGCTCTGTACTTGTGACATGTGCAATGACAATAAAGTTAAATTCTTATTATTCTATTATATATATATATATATTAGTATAGTAATATATATAATAATATATACAAAGTAATTCAATTAAAAAAATAAAAGAATTCAAAAAGCAATTCATAATGACGCAGCATGACTTTAGCTCCTCCCATTTCGATTACGTCACATATACAAACACACACGGATTGTGTCTATCAGCTTCCTGGTTATGGCACTATTAACTCAGTTAACGCGAACTCCGGCTTTCAGTCTCCGCCGGTTCGACCAGCTTTTCACTCCCTTTCTAAGTTACTCGGTACCGGACCTTGAACGAACCATGGCCTCAGTCGCAGCCCGGGAAACGGCCGACAGCAGCCGCTTCGACTTTCTGGTGATTGGCGGTGGGTCTGGAGGTCTGGCCGGAGCTCGGAGAGCAGCCGAGCTGGGAGCGAAGACTGCCGTGATAGAGGGTCACAGACTGGGAGGAACCTGTGTGAGTACACTACTGATATAATAATAACACGTACACAACACCAAAGCTTTAATTTTACTTGAAGTACATGTATTTAGCACCAGACAGAGCGGAGAAAAGTTATCTTTTTCATTAGACTGGAACTCTCTTTATAAACCATTGCAACCAAATGTGTAAAATGCTTCTGCATTAACCTGAACAACTTAGGTTGAGTGATTTACAGACGTCTGAGTTCTGCATTAACCTGAACAACTTAGGTTCAGTGATGTCTGAGAAAAAAAAATTAAACACGTGTAGTGTAGGATATAATGAAATAGAATAGAATGAACAACAACACATACTTGTTTAAGCAATAAGCCTTGAGCAACTCGTGCAGACCTTCAGCAGAAAGGTTCAAACAATATCATATTTGCAAAGACAGTGACTACATTATTAACAAACTGTAGATCTGTAGTTGATACTCTTTTACTTATACTGTAATACTCCTAACACTTGTTGACTCAAGGAGATATAGAGTAATGGACACCAAGTGACGTGAAGAGAAAATTACTTTGATAACAAGAAACATGAGATACATCTGTCTGTCTTCCTGTCTGTCACTATGGTAACACATCCTCGTAATTGGTCAGATAAGTTACCTGTTATTCCTCATCTCATCAGTTCATGAACGTCAGATAAGTTACCTGTTATTCCTCATGATCTCATCAGTTCATGAATTTGCTTTTTGACTGCTTTTAGGTCAACGTCGGCTGTGTTCCCAAGAAGGTAGGAGTCTCTTGTTTTTTTCTAGTGATAATTTGTGTTAATTTCAGAAATAAATCATTCTCTTAAGATCAAGTTTTAAAAGAAGAGGTGACAGATTTTGAGGTGTGGTTTTATAAAGATTAAATATATTCCAATGTCCATAGTCCATACCTGGATTTTTTTTTCCAAACTCTGAAATATAATAGAGAAATTCACAATTATCAGTTCTCAGTAGAAGACAGACTCTTATAACCTTAATAATTAAGTATTCATTATTGTTATAACCTTAAGTATTGTTATAATTTCTAACCTTTTATATGTTACTCTCAGGTGATGTGGAATGCAGCAGTTCATGCAGAATATCTCCACGACCACAGTGATTATGGCTTTGACGTTGAAAACGTTCGTTTCAGTTGGGAGTGAGTCAAGACTTCTTCAATTTCTGCTTCTTTTTTTTTTGCAACTAGAGTTGCAGGCGTGTTTGTGTAACCATTTGGTTGGTTGGTCCAGGAACTTCCTTGTTCAGTGCATGTGTTACGTCACCATTAACCCACTCTTGTGTATTTGCTGGTATTTTGGATTATTTAAATGACTCTTCAAGTTCCAGGAAGTAATACATGGACTTGAGGTATATGTTTGCTACCTGTGAGCTATGTCTCAGCTAGTGTAATCTATTTTAAACAAATTTTCTTCTTCTAAATCTAAATCTATATCCAGTCTGAGTTTTCAATTCATGTCAAACATATTTATTTAATTCATACTGTATTGTAGTGTTCATTAAATTAGTGGTGGAAAAATATATTTATTTTTGTCTGTCTGTGTATATGTTTACAGGAGCCTTAAAGCTAAAAGAGACGCTTACGTTAGTCGGCTAAATGGCATTTATCGCAACAATCTCGACAAGGTACCTTCCTTTTTTTATGTTATACTCTTGTTACAATTTTTACTCTGAAAATATTTCAAATTACTGATATCATTTTCCACAGGCCAAAATCCAATTTATTCAAGGTGTGGCCCGGTTCACAAATGACACAGAACCGACTGTGGAGGTCGAAGGTCGAAAGTATACGGCGCCACACATCCTTATAGCCACCGGAGGGCAGCCTTTGGTAATGAGTGATGATGATGTTCCAGGTCAGAAACCTCTTACTCTTATGTAGAAACTTCCTCAGTGTTTTATCAAATATTTTTGTCAGGCAGTTCTAAAGTTATATAAATAGTATAAAATGTTTATATTTATGATTTCAGGAGCAAGTCTCGGGATTACCAGTGATGGATTTTTTGAGCTTAAATCTCTGCCAAAGTAAGATAGTTTTATTATTTGTTATTATTAGTTCCTCCAGAAAGAAGTAACCAAAAACCTGAGATAAAAATATGCAACTATGTTGCTGTTTCCACCAGACGCAGCATAATTGTTGGAGCTGGTTATATCGCCGTGGAGATGGCAGGCATCTTATCAACACTGGGCTCCAAAACATCCCTCATTATCAGACAAACAGAAGTAAGAAATGCAAGGAATTATTTTTTTTCCATTTACTTTCAGCCTTGTCTAACTTCTGCTCTTTCTGCCTCTAAAGGTGCTGAGAAATTTCGACAGCATGATCAGCACAAACTGCACCAAAGAGCTGCAAAACTCTGGTGTTGATCTGTGGAAGAACTCGCAGGTTAAGTCTGTGACTAAAACAGACAAGGGTCTAGAGGTGACTCTCATCACCAAAGACCCAGAGAAGAACGAAGAAGGTAAAATCAGCACCATCCAGGAAGTGGACTGTCTACTGTGGGCCATTGGCAGGAAGCCAAACACTGATGCACTCAACATCAGCAAAACGGTAATATACTGTTCCTAATTTTTATTTTTTGTTTGTTTTCTTTTTACACTGTTGTAATGTCGACAAAGTTGTTGGACAAAGTTTTACCTAACTTTAACAAAAACACTCATAAAAGCCTACGCGTTTTTTCTCCATGTGTTCATAGGGTGTGGATTTAGATGGACAAGGTCACATTATGGTGGATGAGTTTCAGAACACTAATCGAAAGGGAATCTACGCCTTAGGAGACGTTTGTGGACGAGCGCTTCTCACACCTGGTAAGAAGGTCAACCACTGATTAAAAAAGTAAAACAAACGTTCTACACAGTTACACATACACTGATTATACGCTGGATTAATATTTGTGTTGCGGCAGTGGCCATAGCTGCAGGCAGAAAATTGGCCCACAGACTCTTTGAGGGCAAAGAGGACTCCAAGATGGACTACTCCAATATCCCCACAGTGGTGTTCAGCCACCCACCCATTGGTACAGTGGGTCTGACCGAAGGTAGGTCTGAAAGAAAACTTGAAATTGCACTTTGTTTTATGCTACTTTAAATTAAAATATATATATATTTAGTGTATTATACTACAAAAAAACAGTTTTGTGTATTGTGTGCTCATAAAACAGACGAGGCCATTAAAGCCTGGGGCAAAGAGAATGTGAAAATCTACAAGACGTCCTTCACTCCAATGTACCACGCCATAACAAGCAGGAAGAGTCTGTGTCTCATGAAGCTGGTGTGTGCCGGCAAAGAGGAGAAGGTACAGTGGGAGTCGTCAGCTCTGAACAAAACATTGACTTGAATTTCAGTTGAATCTGAATAGAAGCAGTATCATAATCATAAGCATTTCTGAAGGGTTAGAAAAAAGAATTTTGCCAAATGTCAAAATATGTTAAACCCTGTGTTTTTGGGCGGGTGTTTTGGCATCATCAGTCAAAATATAGAGGAGAAGAGTGGCTAAGAGTTAGACCAGAAAAAGCTGATTCAAATGTGGCTTTATGCTACCATTACACTGTAATAAATTAACACAATTATAACTGTGTTGCATCTTTGATTGTCTTCAGGTTGTGGGTCTGCACATGCAGGGTCTGGGCTGCGATGAGATGCTGCAGGGCTTTTCTGTGGCTATCAAAATGGGTGCTACTAAAGCTGACTTTGACAAGACTGTTGCTATTCACCCCACCTCGTCTGAGGAGTTTGTCACTATGCGCTGATTTAAAAAAAAAAAAAAACGTCATTCAGAAAAAGAAGGACTGGACCAACATTTCTTGCAGCTCTTGAAACAATAAGAATTCTTAGAAATATATAAATGTTTGTTTTTCTCGGATTTAAATTTATTCGTGTACTGTACTTTTTTTGACTGCACTGTACTGTTCTAATATTTAAAATGGATCTTGTGACATTTTCAACTCTACCAGACCCCTTTAAAAAGAGGGAACATGGAGCTAATTATTACTGAAATGATTTGTTAGTTTTATTAGATAAATTAGAAATTTGTATAAAAAGCACTATTTTTCTACCATAAGATCTGGTGCCAGGAACTTGGAAAATGTCCAAGGAACTGTGTGCTTTTCTATGAAATAAGGACTATGAAATAAGGACTGTAAGTACTTGTTAGGAGTCCCTCTTTGTTATCCACAGTACGACTATCAGGGAGTGCAGAAACAATTGAGGTCGAGTTCTTCTTCTCTTACTTCTTCGTGTTCTTCACATGCTTTTATCATCAGCAACAGTTATTGTGACATAACACATTATATTTTACAACGCACCAAATGGGTCTCCTTACTAAAAAGATATAAATTAATGTTATACAGATTTAATAAAGCACTTTTCTTACATGTTCTGATTTATTTTTGCTTTGTAGTGCGTGACTCAGCAAAGTTCGTTTTAGCTGTTGGTCATTTATGCAGTGACAAAATGTGTTGGGAGAGGGTGCTGTTTACCCGATAAAAGCAGACGGAGGGAAATCCTGTGGAAAGATACATGTCAAAGTTGTGATGAGAATTTAAACCTTTTCCTTGTAGACCGTTTTTATGGGTACTGACGTTAACATAATTGCTGTGTGTGTATACACACACACACACACACATATATATATATAAATAACATGCAATTGAGGCTAACTTTTTATTAAAAAATAATACACAATATCTTGTTTGTATTTTGCAAAACGACCTTATTTACTTTCTTTCTCTTTTCAAGAGAAATCACCGATAACGTCTTAAATACCGTATGTGACCTTTCCAAAACGGCTTGTATACTCTCGCGATGCTAAGTAACTTTTCAGTAAAGTAAGTAAAGAATCGCGCGAGAATAACAGTCGTTGGTGTGTTTGTAGCCACAGCATACTCCTGTTTGGCTTTAGATTGGATGGACATATTTTTAAATGGACAATAATTATGCAGGACATTCGTAACATAAGGCAGGTATGTATATTTCTTAATACGGTTGTTTGTCTATGAAGAACATGCAGTTGAATTGGCGTTGTTGAAGTCTTAAATTACATTTATTACGTACGGCTAATGACGTTAGCTTACTGAGCTTACTAGCTGTAGCTTCTTACGTCAACAGATAAGTTTACAAAACCTCGCGATACCAGTTGTAACCGCTATCAGCCCTATTTGGCCATAGATTTAGAAAATTAAGAAAAAATAAATAAGGATACGTTTTATAATGGGCAGGTATATGTGATTATGATAAATCATGTTCGCGTTCTATCACAAATAGCCCCCAACAGTTTCTTAAGTAAGTTGAATGATAAAATTGCACTTGTTGGGTACAGCACCTAATAATATTAGCACACTAAGCTAACTTGCTAACTGTAGCAGTGTCAGTGTTATTAGTTTAGCCTCGGGGTGATTAGTTTAATGAGAAACGTGTCATGTGGTCAGTTTGACGACGCCGTTGGTCGTGCTAAGTTATTTTTTTTGGTTGGTAGTGTCAGGAGTGGGTCGACTATGTGTGGACCTGAACCTTTCTGAACTGGATTAAAGTGACATGCGGGCTGCTGACACCGCGGTGACGGACGGTTCGTGACTCGGCTGCAGCAGCTCCTGTTCATGCGCTCGGTTATCCACCGAGCCGAAAATGTTCCCCAGCCTGGCCCATAGACCTTGGCATGTGTTCTGCAGGCTGTCCCTACAGAACCGGCCGTCTATATCTCAACGTTCCTCGAAGTACCCTCAGCTGAACTCTGGTAAGTCCGCTGACGTTCTGAGATTAAATTGACCTTCGTTACAGTCAGGGATGCAATGGAGGAACATTCATAGTCATTTAATTTGCGTTGATTTTCTTTGTCAAATCGACTAATAATTTGGTATAAACTGCATTATATACTGACTAGATGATCAGTTAATTAGACATATTTATAGTCAGTGTTTAAAAAGCGGCTGATTTATTAGCAGCTTAAAGAAATAGTTCTGGGTTGAAGGGAAAGAAAATTAAAAAAAAAATGGAAGTCTCCATCTCACACCATCCTTTTACCTAGTATGCATTATACCTGCTATTTCCATGTTCTCTTCCACTTTGTTCATGACTATTCACTGGGGTTTGACTTTGTCAAATGTGTTCACTGTTTCTCCACCTTGCATACTGTTTTTTAATTAAAATATCTTACCTCTTGAAAATTACTTGTATGGATAACTTGTATAATCATTAATGGAGAGTTTTGTGTCTTGCTACTTGTGAAAAAATAAAAAATGCTACCTTCCATATTCATATCCCTGTAAATTATATAAGAACTTGTGAACATAAACCAAAAGAAAAAAGCCAGTTTTACATTAAACTGGTTGATTAATATCCAGTGCTCTTTAATTTTGGTTAAAGGAAACTCATTTTGTAATTTGCAAACCCCACTCTGTCTCACAGGTTGGCAAAGCAAATGCATACACAGCGTGTGGTTCAGCCTTCCAGACTGCAGACTTGCTTCATTAGGGCTGGGCAAAGTACACTACTATTCTACCTCCTCTGATGGCAACAATAAAAATGGTCCTTCCAAATCAACATTAGGTGATGCTCCTTCAGCTGAACAGGTCTTGTCTGGCCCTGCAACAAAAACCTTACCTTCAGGTAACATACAATCTCTCATGTCTCTCTCTGTGTTTTATCTGGAACTTGTCTAGTTTTATTGTCAGATAAATTAGTCCGGTGTCACTGCTGCTTTTGTTGATGTATTCTTTTTGCTTATTTAGGACCTTCTCCTCAGGTGTTGGGTGCATTTGAAAAACTTCAAGTCAAAGGTGTAGTAAAACATTTTTATTATGTCGTTCCTATTGTGCCTAGATTGCCTTGGCATTAATTCAGTGCAAACATAATGTCTTTTATTTCCTTCTGTTGACAAATTCAGTTCGCCCCGTGCTAAAAAAGAGGGAATATGGAGCCAAGTACACACAGAACAACTTCATCACTGCAGTCAGAGCCATGAATGAGTTCTGTCTCAAACCAAGGTGCGTCACCCTGCATTCTGTGTCAGTTTCAAAGGTCTAGTTTTTAAAACAAATAGTCAACTTTAAAAAATGGGAATTCAACTCAATCCACACTTCAATGACAAATTTGATTCATTTTGACACAGAATTAAATAGAATAGAATTTTCTTGGATGACAGGACTTGAATACAGAGGACTCAGACAGAAGTGTTACAGTTCCTGTTTTGTAATTTTTGTGCGTTAAGTCCTTAAGAAAGAGAAACTAATGTGTCTCCATGAACCTAGACTTTTTCCATGTACCACTGCAGACTACTGGCAGAACAGTTTCCACAAAGCACAACATGAAAGACATTCTACGCTTAAACTCTTTTGAATTTTAAAGATGATTATTTTGTTGAATTTCCAACAAAGCTCATATATGTATATATATCTAGCAGCCGTTGTCACAGAACAACTTCCTTCTAGTTAATCAGTGAACATGCTGCTTAAATTAACTAATGAGGCACTGCCTACTACCATTCAACTCTGGTCTTTCTGGTTATCCTCTGCCTCATGTATTCACAGTGATCTGGAGCAACTGCGAAGGATCAGACGACGCAGCCCACATGACGACACAGAGGCTTTTACTGTCTTCCTGCGATCAGATGTCGAGGCCAAGTTAGTTCACAAACCTCCACATTAAGACCTATTAAAGGATGCCCATTATTACCAACTGCAATACAGATTTGAACAATTTTTTCACTGATCGTCTCTCTGTCTATCAATGCCAGAGCGCTCGAGGTGTGGGGAAGTCATGAAGCTCTCGCCCGAGAGAAAAATTTAAGGAAAGAAGTGGAGAGAGAGCATCAAGAAAGTAGGTTTTTAGAATGTGTATGGAAGTAATGCAACAATGTTAATGTCATTACAGAGGCAGAGTTTTAAATATATATACAGTATGTATAGTATATATATAAATGATTGTTGTCCACCAACAGAGGCAGAGTTTTAAATATATATACATTATGTATAGTATATATACTGTATAAATGATTGTTGTCCACCATTTTACACAACTTTGTCAGAACATAAAAAGTTACATACTGCATGTATGTGTATATATATAAATGTTTTTTTTTTTTTTTATTCACCCTTTTACTGAAATACAGTTTCATTCATGTCTTTATATATAAATGTTTATATATATTTATTTTTTTCTACAGTACTTGTGTTAAAGAAATGTTGAAATGCTTTATAATGTACCTTTTACTGAAATACAGTTTCATTCGTGTCCTTATTTTGTTGCCTGATCTACAGATATTTTCCGCAACCAACAGTTGCTAAAGGAATACAAAGATTTCTGGGGGAACACAAAGGTATACACTCTTGGTTTAATGGTTTCTGAGCAAATCTGCACATTGATGCTAATGTTTTAAAATTAAAACTTGTTCCACAAATATATTTATGGACTGCATGTATACTACAAGAAACTCATCATTCTGGTTCAGAAATGTATTTTGTCTCTTTTTGTTTATTCTTTTTTTTTTTTTTTTTAAGCCTCGATCAGGAAAGGGAGCAACATTTCTTCAGGGACCAGGAAAAGTGGTCATGGTTGCTATCTGCATGTAAGTCTTTAACCTCTCACACCTTTGCTTAAGTCTTGTTTGCTGTGGTATTTTTAACTACAACACTCGGTCACCGTGGATTAGAGTCAATCTACACGTCTGGTCTCCGCATGGTTACCACATACAGTCTGGTAGGTTTTCTACCAGAGCTCACAGGTCTGTCTGTCAGCCTTCAGATTGACTCACATCAGGTCACATGGCCTGTAGTGGATTAGGATGATTGTGTTAGTGGACACGTGCAGTCACATGAGAAGCAAATCATTTAACTTCTATTTACAGGAGTCAGGTAGTGCAATGAATTTTAGAGTTAGAATCTTAAAGCTGAATAAAACTGTAAATAGCCTTTATTTCAGCAGTTGATGTATAATAAGCAGTTTTAGTTTTGTGCACTGCAAATGTACATCTCATCATAAAAATGTAACAAAACTACTTTTTTTTTTTCCTTCTTCAGCAATGGGCTCAACTTCATCTTTAAACTACTAGCCTGGGTCTACACCGGATCAGCCAGCATGTTCTCTGAGGCCATCCACTCTCTGGCCGACACCTGTAATCAGGGTCTGCTCGCCCTGGGAATCAGCCAGTCCATCCGCAACCCAGACGCTGGTCACCCGTAAGAACCACATATTTACTTTAAGGCTTTTTATATATATATACAGGTTCTGCGTTTTTCTACTGGTCAGACAATGTATCTTTATAGATTGAATGAAGATAATTTATTGGTCCTTTTTTGTTGTTTTTCAGATACGGATTCTCCAATATGCGCTACATTGCTTCGCTTATCAGTGGTGTGGGCATTTTTATGATGGGAGCTGGCCTCTCATGGTACCATGGCATCATGGGATTGCTGCACCCTCAACCCATGGAGTCATTGTTATGGGTGAGCGACTATTGAAAAAGCTTCACGTTGGTGCATTTAAAGCCTCTTGTAAAATATGTGGTTCTCTTTTCAAAAGGTTTAGTGTAAAAATTCTTCGCAGTGTTCCAGATCAAAGACATTTCCTGTGTATACTGTGTATCTGTATTATTATTTAAAGATTTTTATACATGGCAAGACAATCCAAAGCGTTGTAGGACCACAGACAAACATTTAAAAAAAAAAGGTCTGTCTGTAAAGTATTATAGCTATGATTTGTTTTGTGTTTCAGGCTTACTGTATTTTGGCAGGTTCTCTGGTATCTGAAGGAGGTGAGTTGTCAAAATGATCCTAACCTCTCTTTGTGTTTACACTATTTCTGTGTCATGTTGAATCTACCTTTTTTTTCTTCATCCCAGCCACTTTACTGGTTGCCATCAATGAAATAAGAAAAAGTGCCCACAACCAAAGCGTGTCGTTTTATGAGTATGGTACGTACAAACGTACAAATGTGTCTGTATCACTATCAATTACATGGTAAAAGTTTGGATAGTTTTTTGCTATTTTTAAATGGAACTGCACCAGAACAACAGCTTGGTCACTTTGCACAATTCACTTGTATTTAAGAAAATCTTATTGTTTGAAGGTAGATATTAATGTGGAGATTTTGTGAATGTGTGCAGTTATACAGAGTCGAGACCCCAGCACTAATGTGGTGCTGTTGGAAGATGCTGCGGCTGTTCTGGGGGTCACCCTGGCTGCTGGCTGTATGGGACTCACCTCACTCACTGGTGAAGAATTTAAAAAAAATATTTTACCTTAGGAGACATTTAATTCCTCTTATTCATTACCAAAAATTAAATTTCTAGGAAAATGATGATGGCTTTAAAAAAAAATTAAAATCCTTAACTGTTTTCTCAGGTAACCCTCTCTATGACAGCTTGGGTTCTCTTGGCGTTGGGACACTGTTGGGCGCGGTCTCTGCCTTCCTCATCTACACAAACACAGAAGCTCTGCTGGGACGATCTATACAGGCAGAACGCGTCCAGAAGCTCACAGAAATCTTGGAGAACGACCCTGCCGTGAGGTCAGACACTTCAAAACTCTCCACACACACACACACACACACACAATAAATTTATACAGTGACCTGTATCACACATTCAGTCCATGAAAAATGAAGTTAACAAGTGACTCATAAAAGAGGGAGTCGGCCATTAGGATTACTTGAGTTGTTATTTCAGGCGTGGTTCTTGTTTTTCTCCTATTCTGAGCAGAGCCATACATGACGTGAAGGCCACTGACATGGGACTGAGTAAAGTTCGCTTCAAGGCTGAGGTTGATTTTGACGGACGAGTGGTGACACGGTCATATCTGGAAAAACAAGACATTGATCAAATCCTTAATGTAAGTTGTTTGTCTTTAGCATATATGTGTATATGTATATATATGTGTATATATGTATATATATGTGTATATATATGTATATTTATATATATGTGTGTATATGTATATACGTCTGTGTATATGTATATGTGTATATATATGTGTGTGTGTGTATATGCATATATTTGTGTGTGTGTGTATATGTATGCATATATACACATGTATATATACAGAGGGATCAATAAAGCCCTTTTTATTTATCTATCTATCTTAATTTTTTTCCCTAGGAAATACAGCTGGTAAAAACACCTGAGGAGTTGGAGAGCTTCATGCTCAAACATGGGGAGAACATCATCGACACCCTGGGAGCAGAGGTCGACCGTTTGGAGAAAGAGCTCAAGGTACCGAACATCTTCCTGGACAATATGTCCATATATATGTTTCCCAAACATTATAAAGACATGTTCAGATTTTAACTTTCTGTCGTTTCCAGCAAAGTAACCCAGAGGTACGCCACGTGGACTTGGAGATCCTATAACAGATGGCGGCGGCCAGTGTGAAGAAACATTCTGGTGTTCAAGTAGAAAAGGTGAAAGGAAGATAAGAATCCACCTCCAGTATCTGCCTCGCATTCCATCAACTTACAGACAGCATCTGTTTCTGTGCAAGTGATCTGGTGTAAGCATAGAATAATCTGAGATAGTCATATAGAAACAGTGTTCAGTCTTATGTCAAACCCATACTAATCCAACTGTTCCTTTGTTCTGGAGATTCAGGTGTAGCTGTCACATGACCTAATTCTTATTGAAGTAAGTCAGAGTGACCCCAAAGGGACATTTTAGGGCCAAAAAGAGTAAATTGAGATGTTTCCTGGTAAAACTAAATCCATTAAAACTAATATTAAATTCAAAAAGACAATAACAATTACAGATAAACTACAATAACACATCATGTTTGCAGCCTTTTGCACAGATCATCAGCTGATCCATCAGAGTTATCAGACGTTCAAAACATTTTATGACCGTTCTATAGACGAGCAAAAAATAGAGTGTAATGCAAAACTGGTATATATTAATCCACAGGAAACAAACACTAGAAGAAACAAAAGAACAACTGCAACTGAAAGGCATGTTGTTTATTAAGGTTTACTGATGATTTATAACACATTCTTTAGGTTCCAGGATTAATCTTCCTGCAACTATATGCTTTTTACTTCCATTGACTGCCTGCTTTTCCACAGCAGCAAATGTGTGTTTGAGCGTTAGACTAATAGAGAAAATCAAGGTTGCTGCATGCGGTTCCTGGTACCTTCTGAGATTCTCTACAGAGAGCCCAGATAGCTAGGTCTAGGAGTTTCAGCCCAGAGACTGAGGAGTTTCAGAGGGTTTGTAGGATTTGTAGGAAACACACAGAAGCTTTATGCTTTCTTCAGTGAAGTTTGTTTCAATTTGGTTAAAGAAAAAAAAAACCCTTTTCCAAATCCACATTCTCCTCCAGGACCAGAGTCAGTGATGAATCTTCACTCTGACATAATGCTTGAACCACAGTTGTGTGTTACCACAATTTCATATTCTTACTAAACTTATTTACTATTAGAAAAAATTTGATTTCATTTTTCTTTTAATATATGATGTGAGGAGTTTATAATGGCAAAGGTTTAATAGAAAAAAAATCTCTCAGAGATTTTATAGTTATTTAAAAAGTATGCAAACAAACGCTGTTGATTTAACGAAAGAGATAAGGACTGTTGTTCACGGAAGTTGTCAGCGATCACTAGATGCGGTAAAATATCACTAGACGTCTTGTACCAGATGTCATAATGTTCAGCATTGACGCAGGCGCTTCAACAGTTTGGAAGTGTGCTTGGATTGTGATCACGTTTGGTAAAGGCTGTGTGTAAATGAAACCTGGCCAACATGTCACCTGTAACGTTTTCGATCAGAGCCCTGGATATCACTGACGCTAATGCCCCCTTCTCTTCATCAGCTCCCTGAGGTTTGCAGCTGACATATTTGAATGTTAATGTTCCAAAGATAAAGTACTGAAGGTTTCACCCGGTGTCAGTGAGCGGCCACTAATGATCATGTTGATTTGGGGAGCGGGGGGGGAAGCCCTTGAATCAAAGCAATTTTAATCAAGTCCCAACATTAAAATGTCAATCAATCAGGATCAACAGCTGAAAGGTCACTCTGCACTGTAACGTTAAGGTCGCGATATTAAGCACACGATTTCATCATATATGAAAATCACATGACGTGATATAAGATTGTAAAGGTGGTGGCTTTGAAGGTGTATTATTATTTGATATGGACCTCTGCTCACAGTGATGTTGCCTCTGCTCAAGGAGTTGGAATACGATTTTGAAGTAATTTATTAAATTATTTTTATCTCCCGCTTAGCCTTTGACTGTGTTTGGATTTGTTCGGGGGTTCATGTGTGAGCGAGAAATCGAGAATCATTTTTGCAATGATGTCTTTATAGCCAGAAAGATTGCCGGTTCGATTCCCGGTCGATCTTCCTGTACGGAGTTATTGCTTGTTCTCCCTGTCTGTGCGTGCCTTTTCTCCTGGTACTACAGTTTCCTACCACATCCCGAAAACATGCTCATGTTGATCGGACACTAAATTGACTATATGTAGGAGTGAATGTGAGTGGTTGTTTATTTGTCAGTTGATGACTGTGATTGGCTCTAAAAGACCCTGCAAAGGAATATGATATATATATATATATATATATTTGTAGTAAAAGTCAATCAATGTATCTCCAAAAAAGTACCCAAAATGCTTTTTTTTTTTTAGAAAAACAAGCAGATATACCAAAATAATCTCCTGTTAAAAATTAGAAGCAAAACCAAAGTACATTTCCTGAATTATGATTTCTAAATTTTCCTTGTTTCTGTTTTGTGTTGGGTTTTGTGAAACAGAAACAGCTTCTTGAAGGATGAGGCCATTTTTAACCGACCACCTCTGCTTCCGTAGCGCGATCAAAGCCTTGCGATTTTTCTCCATTGTCCTGTTTTTCTCTTTTACGGAGAAGAAAGTCCATTAGAAGCTGCAGTTGCGGAGAAGATAGAGGGAGGGCGCTGTTGCAGCCTGAGCGCTGACGTCAACAATAACACTAATTTCCATCCAGTGCCTGTAGGTGTGTGTGTTTGTGCGCGCGCGCGCTGTGACCGAGCTTATCAAAACATTACGCACAGCAGCAGCGCGGCCGGACCAGGACAGACAGCCTTCCCGAAACACTGGAACCGAACCAATGATTTTTTTATTCCGAAACGTAGGAAATGGGAAAGCGGCCGAACCGGAACAGAGCGGAACCATCCGGTACCAGGGCAGGTTTTTCAGTGTTGTCTGGGTGTTACGCGCGTCTCCGTGTCGTATCCGTCAGTTTTGCCAGTGCCACTGCCCATCATCTCATTTCCATTCCTGTCCTCATTCCGACACAATAGGTCGCTTTGGCGGCTTTACTTGTTTGTTTTTTTTAAAATTAGGAAGTAAATAGTTTCATTTTCGGGCATATTTGTATTTTTAATTTTCTTTTTTTTTTCAATAAAGAAAAGGCGCGTCGACGCGCGTCTGATCTCATCTATATCTATTCCTCATCATCATCTTCACATCGCATTTGCTTCGTTGACATCATCACGTAGTACAAGCCAACAGCATGGTTTAAGAAAAAAAATGCATTTTATACATTTTATAATGCATCCTGTTGTTTTTTTTCTTTTCATCCGTGTTCTTTTTTTTCTTCCTCCACCTCCATGTCCAGTATTTGCAGCCTACAGATGGGGGCGCAGTGAGGCTGCACAGCTGAGGTCTCGGGGTTCGTCCAACAGCCGCTCCTCCATCACTAAACACAGTTCCTTTATTCTTAACGTTCAGTTTTAGACTCGAAGAAATCCAGATGGGGATGGAATGGGATTTTGTGCAGAATTCAATCTTTTTGCATTTTCCTGCGCTCCAATCCTGACCTCGTTTCCCTTGTTTGAGCTTTGTTTTTGTGTGTTGTTTTTGTTGCCTATGAATCCGTGTGTTTTTTTGTGGAGGGCGTGCGGGGCGCTCGTCCTAATGATTAGGACATTAAAAGGCAGTACCTAATTTTGCAGCATTAGTATCCGATATCGGGGTGGACATATGAAAGGCGGTCAGATTCGAATTAGACGTCACCTGGTGGTGGTTACGGTTAGTAGCGAGGTTCTGGTCAGGTTATACAAAGGAATAAAAGATAACGAGTCTTGACAAAGGAATTGCTCGACGTGTGTGATGTGTATGTTTTTTTTGTTTGAGGTTCAAGAGCAGGTTTCCATAATATGATGGCAGGAAAAGGCTCTTCATAGAGGATGAACCTCCTCCTCTTCTCCTCCTCCTCCTCTTCCTCCTCCCCCTCTTGCTCCTCCCTGCTCTGTGCTCTCAGCCTCTTTACAGTGCTGCCTTGTCTTTATCATGTTCAAGCAGCATTGTACAGGGCTATGACAGCACAGAGAGCTGAGCGCCAGTGACATCATTGAATTCCAAATATCAAAATAAACAACAACAAAAAAGACTCAAACAGTATAGTACAGTAAGTATTTGTTCATAGTGCCGTAAAACCGTGGTTTAAAAGTCTGGCTCACAACCCACAGATGACCCTTCGGAGGTCATCTGGGACTCAAAATAGATTGTGGGTGTGCGGGCTGCCACTAGGGGGTGCGGGAGATGATGGCAGAGTAGATTTTTTAAATGGGATTTTTCCATACAATAAAGACATGCTGGCTTTTTTTATTAATAAATAAATGCAGGTTATAATATAGAAATGTGTTCTGTCTGTTCTTGTGAGCATGATTGAACATTCAGCCTTTACAAGAAAGCTTGTTGGATTTTTTTTTTTTAAGGTGTGGGTCTGTTCTTGTGAGCATGATTGAACATGCAGCCTTTTCAAGAAAGCTTGTTGGATTTTTTTAAGGTGTGAGGAATTGAGGGTGCGCAGCCACAATAATTTGGAAACTGCTGCTCTGGCCTGGTAATTTTTTTTTTTTTTTTGTAGCTATTCGTGCCATGTTGGTGTTTTTAAACAAAATTAAGGATACTCTCTTAGTCAAGCTACCTTTTGCCTGTGGTTAGACACCACTTGTATCTTTAAACGGAGCTGCTGTTGTTTTTCTTTTTTTTTTTTTTTTTTTTTTTGCTTTTTTTTCAAAAACGTGAATTTATATTTTTCACGTTGTTAAAATTTTTTCCATTAAAAATAATTGAAAATGTCAATCGCGCTTTGATTTGAACTTTAATTTTTCTTACCGTGACCGTTCAGTCTGACGTAAATTCCCAAAGCCTTTTTAGGCTTAAGAGAAAACTGGAGCACATTCAGTTTCTGTGTGGTTGAATTATTCAGTCCAAAGCTGCATCTTCATTTCTTTTTTTCTCTTTTCTTTTTTTTTTTTGTCACCAATACATTATTGAACCAGTGAGTGGCACTGCACTCCTGTCGCCGAGTCTCTTCTTACCACAGAGAACGACATGACAACTAGGTCCCGGCTCTAGATTGAGAGATTATTCAAACTTTAGACCAGTGTTTGAATGAAAATGTAATTCTAGAAAATTAAACATCCGTGTCTTTAGTTGATACGTCCAAACCCCTGACCTTTCTCCTTAAGCGGGTCATACTGCAGTATAAAATTTAAATGTGAGGTTTGAAGGTTTGACGCCGGTCTGTGAGCAAAGGTCCGGTTTCACACTGTCGTCTACAGGTCACAAACCTAAACCATTGACTTTCTCTCTGTGTGTGCGCAGTGCGTGCGCAATGTGAGTGTGTGTGATATGGGATTAGTGATGAGGACATCGCTAACGAAGACGTCTTCTCACTAATTACCCGACGAGATTAGGTTTGAGTAACTGAGGTAACAACAGGTCAGGAGACGACGGTTCAGTCCAGTCCTTACACTCTTTTTTTCTCTTGTAAATTGTTGCATTTTTTGCTACGTATTAGCTTGCCTTTAGCTAATATGTATACTTGTTTTGTAAGTGTTACATATTCAACCTAGCAAAAGTTTTGTCTGCTAACTTTATTTTAATAATAATAATATATATTATTTTCATTTTAATCAATATGGAATCACATTTCAAATAACGTTGTTGCTAATGTTCTTAGCTAACGATAACAATTTTGGCAAAAGGAGTAGAAACAAATGGAAAAAATTAAAGTTGAGGTTTTTTGGGCATATCTGTTACTTCTAAATTTTATTTACCCCACCCTGTTAATAGCTGAGATTTAGATTTGAGATTTATATAAATGCATGTTAAAAGTTGCTAAAGATGAAGTGGACTCACCAGAAAAATCATTGATTTTTATTACAAATTTGACAATGGCCATTATTAAAAAGGAGTAAAGTCCTGCTGTGTGTAGTCCAGTTTAAGGTCCTGTGGGTCCTTAGGTCCTGAAGAAGAAAGTGTGGGTTGCGGGTCAGGCACGGTACATCCTCACTGGCTGCAGCTCACACAGGGCTGCAAACCGTTCTCGTTACAGGAAGTGCACTTGAGGGCTTTAAAGGAATCCGTGAAGCAGTTTCGGAACACCGACATCTTGCTGCCATGGCACATCGGACACGGGATGAAGGCGTAGCCCCCGCAGGTCTGGCACGTCTGGGGATGCTGAACCCTCTTCAGGGAAATGGACAAAGTTTCTTTAGGTACAGTGTCCTGACACAACTACATAATATGCTAATATCAGGAGACAATATCGGTCGGCAGAAATGCTCGGACATCCCTATTTAAAACTTTTCTGTAGCTACATCGTCTTCTTCACTAAAACCAACCTCTATTTTTGTCAGAAGGTCTTGAAGTTCTCCTGATTCGTTCATACCAAGTATCTTTTCAGCGCCCTGCAGAATAAGTTCAGCCCCAGAATTAGCTTTGTGAATACAAAACAAAACATTCAACATTTAATGTCGCGATGAAGCACAAAAATAGCCGCTGACCCCAAGGTAGTGTCCATCGATGAACACCACAGGAAGTGAGGGAGGTTCTCCCACTCGTCTGCATCGTTCCTCCAGCTCTTTCCCGTACTCTATGTCCAGAGCGATGTTCTTCTCCAGGAACTTCACCCTGTGGTTCTGGAAGATCTTTCTGACCAGCTCACAGCGCTCAAAGGTGGTCCTCACCACACGGAAACTGGTGGTGTAAATGACTATCCGCCCGAACTCCACAGACAGCTCCACCTGGACACAAAGTTCAAGCACACATAGCTGTATTGTTCACTGCCAAAACCATACTGACATCCCAGATATTCTAGATTTGACATTTATTCTGTCCAGTCTCAGGTCTGTGTTTAAATACATAATGAGTCGTTTCCTAGTCGAAAAAACCCCAGACGTTTGTTAACAAAATGGTAGAACTGAGTTGCTGTCACAACGTCGCTGATGAAAATGTCTTCCTGACGTCGTCAGCATGGAGCAGCTTCCTATGAGCTGCTGAATGTCTCTTACAAGTTCAATGAGTCATGTCTCTGGGACCGAGTCAGCTAATGTGACGTGCTAATTTATTCATTCATTCATCTCCAGCTTTATTCTAGTCCGTGTTGCGGAAAGAGACGAATTTCCAACTAAATTCTCTTCCTTCTCCAAATGTTGTACACCGTTAGGCACTTTAGATGATTCCAGATTTTTCCACGAGTCTCTCTGAAACCAGGTTTTGATGGTTCTGGATATTCACCTGGTATCACAAGTGTTTTTCAACCTGGGGTTTGTGGCCCCACCTGGGGTTCCGGAATTCAAAATGGGGCCAATGGGGTTGTAGAAGAGAAATTATGGTAAAGCTTCGAGTAAAACACTCTGACGTGTCCTAAAGAAATGTTCGTCATAGATGAAATGATAGGAAAGGTATGCATCATTTAAGATTTAGCCAAAAGATATGCGATACTTGGTCGAGAAATCAGCAGCAGAAATGGTCTTTAGAATGTCTCAGAAACTCAGCAAACTAAAATGTTATCTAATGTATGTTTTAAAGGACAAAAATAAATTCAAAACAACCAAAAAATAATAATTTTCATACAGTGTTTGGATAAAGTATGTAACAAAATCACACGGCGAGAATCCTAACGTAGTCTTGGAGTCTCGGAGCGGAGAAAGTTCTCCGTCCATGACGACCTTGCCTGTCACCGTGGCGTCAACATATGGGCCAAGACTTACATCAGAATTACAAAGAGTTCTTCGTAGACTAGAAAGCGAAGCTCAGAGAATTCATTAACCTGATTAGTTTCCCTGCGAACACTTAACCCAATGCATCATTAAACTTTAACTGCTCTACGACCTCGTCCTCTATTGTGAGCCTTTGTCCCAGTCTTACACCTGCGCGTCCTTCAGACCTGTAAGTAGACTTCGGGACAAGGACAACATAAAGAAGGAGCCACACGAGCTAAAAGTGCCCGAGTGTAAAATAGGGAGACAGAGTGTGTTGTTCTCAAACAAAACAATTTTGAGGACGGTGTCACATGAAAGAGAAAAATATGAGGACCTGGCTCTGAATTTATGGCAAATGTCCAAAGAACCCAGAAGAATCTGGTGGAAACAGACACTAGATTTTAAGGCCCCTGAGTCAGAAACTTAACACGTGCCAAGATATGTTTTGATTATTTTTTAATTGTTTTCAATTTTTTATACCTTAATTTTCAACTATTTTATTTTTTAAAATTAGGTTAAGGAAAACTTGTTGTGATTTGTGTAGCTTTCTTGCAACGTTAAGGAAAACTTGTTGTGATTTGTGTAGGTTTCTTGCAACAAATTTAAGTCACTTTTTTTTCCTTCACTATATTTCTGACCTGACCTTTTATGGCTTATTGATAAATATATTTATCCATTATATTTGCATCCAATGTTTAGCCAAATTCTGACCAAACATATATTTATGTTTAGTGTGATCTAAATACTCAATATGACTTTTATAGTTTTTATCAGAACTTTCAGGAAGTTTTTTGGGGGAGGGATTCTTGGCTAACGTTTGGCTACATCCTAGCTAGCCACTGTTTTGTGTTTTTTTTTCCTGTTTAACTCACTAGACTTTTGGTGAACTTTACTTATTTCTGGTCTACCTTCGTGGTGGTAGAGATAGGCAGTATGTTTTTTTTTACAGAAGTCTTACAAAACAGTTTTTATTTAAAACTTGTAAAAACAATGAATTAGCCAATGCTAGCTTCTTAGTTATTTAAGTTGTTATTCTTCTCATTTCTATAGCAACATAGAGGAAAAAACAAATGTAAAAAAACCCCAGATTTGTTCAGGTTCGGTCAGCTCTGACATTACTTACACTGTTGCAGTTGGGAAGGTTCTCAAACAGCGTCTGACCAGCACTGACTTTGTGTTTGACCCCCCTCACAGTCCCGTTCTTACTGAGGATGTTCACTCTCTTGGTGGTGAAGGTCCAGTCCTTGGTGGCCCCCGCGTACATGAGCAGGTCGTCGGGTTCACTTCCACTGTCATCCAGCTCTGATCCCAGGTATCCGTACAGGTTAGTGTCTCCACTGGTCGAGGGGGTGCTGGCCCGGTCGGCGTCAGAGCTGCTGGTACAGTCTGATTCCAGGGAATCTGAGGGCCCTTCATCTTTAAACATCTCCTTCAGGACCCGGCCGCTGTTCCCCGAAGCCACGCGGAACCTGACCCTCTTCTGAGGCTTCTCCTGCTCCTCCGTCAGCATCGTCCCCTCCATTTTCCAGCTGCCTCGGCTGCTTTACATGATCCAGGAGACGCGGCCGTGGAGCTCCCCGCTGCTCATTCAGACGAGAGGGAGCAGCTCAGACTGTTCTCTCCCATGGATTAAAACCAGGTATAATCCCAGCTCCTGGATTAGCTCTGACACTAACGCAGAGTCTGGAAGCCGCTCCGCACACTCACACCGACTCACACCGACGGTAAATTATACATGCATTTCCACCATGGCAACGCAGCAGGCCAAGCTCCAGTAAAATGAGCAGTGTCTGTGAATTATTAATCACAGTTTACACAGTTTTCACCAAGCAGGACTTTTAATGACTTTGATCAAACACACAAAATCTAGAAATAACAACAGTGGATGAAAGGAAAAACATTCTTGTTGCATTCGCACGCTGTAAATCAATGTGTGTCTAAACCTGAGGCTGTATCAGTCGTCGGAGTTTCAGAGTTTTTTTTTTAGGTTAGAATACCTTCATCTACATCTTGGGTTAAACCTAGCTATCTTTTGCTAACAATTAGCCAATTAAGTGTTGGCTACCATAAATCTACTTTTCAGCGATGTTGATCAACCTTGCAACTAAATGCTAACTTTTAGTCTCATTTTGGCTAAACCTAGCTATCTTTTGCTAACAATTAGCTAATTAAGTGTTGGCTACCATAAATCTATTTTTCAGCGATGTTGATCAACCTTGCAGCTAACTTTTAGTCTCATTTATTTTTTACCTTTTTTGCAGTTTGAACTACATCTGAGCTAGCTTTGGTATCTGGAGGTTCATTTGAAGCTATTGTGGGCTATGTTTTAATTAGTCATGCATAAAGGCTAACATTTTAAAATACTTGTATCATTTTCAGCGCCATCTATTGGGGAAACGTGGGTATTGCAGGGAAAAGGCAGAAGTATAATGATAATATAAATAGATTATATAATTTGGAAAAGTTTGGCGGGCCGTATCCAGCCCCCGGGCCTCAGTTTGCTCATGACTTTATTCAATGGGTGGTTATACGGGCAATGGGTTGCTGTTGCATTGCACTTGTAATGATATTTTGAGTATAATACAACAGTGCGCCTCTATACAGACGTGTTTACACATCTGTGTCCTCCTCATGTGCTGGGATATATGACGTACAGTATACGTGTCACCTCTGACTACTCCGTTACGGTAAAAGTCGGAGCACTTGCGGGTGTAGTCACACAGCAGAAAGGAAACAAAGCCTCTAATGTGTCAGAGTGACACAAAAAGCAGCAGCAGCAGCAGTGTGTTCAGACAGGACGGCTCTTTGTTCCTGAGTGACAGGTAATGGAGCAACTTCCTGGAGATGTGACACTTAAGCTTATGAAGCAGTGAGTGACAGTGTGTAGAGAGAACTGCTGTTGAGCTGCTGGGTTAGATGTACGCTCACACACACACACACACACACACACACACGGATGGAGTAGTAACCTGCGACCTGAGTCTGGTTCCTCCGTGACCTCAGATGTTAATATTAGACGTATTTATTGGGTCCATATTTGAATAGGTTTTTTTACTAATATTTTTTTAAATTATATTTTACACATTATAAATGAATACAATAAAAGGTAAAAAACGGAACACAGAAACTTATGCCTTTCTATAAGTTTATGCTATTTTTTTCCTAAAACATTGGTGAAAACAGCTATTTGCTAGTTAATAAATTGTTTTTGCAACTCTGTGGATAAACCTTTTTCCAGATTTCTTTTCTAGATGATTATTTTCTGTATTTTACTGACAAAGTATTGGCTATTGTCACTACTAATTGGTAACATTTTAGCTAATTTTGGTTATCGTTTTTTTAGATAATTGAACAATGTATATATTTTTTATCTTTTTCTTATAGTCATATTTTTTTAAAAGTAATTGTAAAAGAACAATTCTTGGTTTTTTTAAAGTAAATATTAAGTTATCTGTGGTTCTCTTATAGCAGTTCTATGCCTTTAAAGAATTTGAACCTTTGTGAAAGTGGTAAACAAATTTAAGAAGATCATTTACTGATAATGTGATGTATTTGGTGTGAATTTAACACAATAATTTCATTAATCAGATTTATTTTGTTTACGATATATGTAATTTACATATTTAGGTGTGGTGTTTGTGTGTTCTGCTGGGCGGTGATTTTTTTTTCTTTTTTTTTTGAGCTGTTGCCTTCTCTCTACAGCTGCACTGAATCAGAGATGACGAGTCGGAGCACTGTGGGCGTGGCCTCCAGTCGATGAAGGGTTTGACTGTTGTTGGATCTTCTCATTCTAAAAGGTAACTCCTGATATTTGCTCTTTGTTCTTTGTTTTTGGATTATTGTCCACATCCAGTTTTTTAGCACCACTGCCACCTGTAGATTCATGACCAGTGGAGTCATGAATCACCCCCCCCCCCCCACACACACACACCCTGAACTCTTCACCTTACAGAGACTTTTTGCACATTTACTGGTTCTCTTGGTTTCTTCTTCTTCTTCTTCTGGGTCCTCCTCCTCCCTCGCAGTATTGACCTAACATGTAACGCAAGGAAAAAAACGTCTACGTGTGTTATCTTGTGAGAAAATGTGACTACATGAGATAAATGTGACTACATGAGATAAAGTGGCTGCTCCAGTTAACACAATACGGGTGTGTTGTGAACGCTTCGTACTTTCTGTTTGTACGACAGACTAGTTGGTAGTTTGTGTAATTTACCGTCTCACTGTGAAAGTAAAAAGTAAAATATGTAGGCAGAGTTTATCCACCTTGGAGGAAGGTTGATAAAGAAACAGCTCCACAGTGATATTTCTATGAAAATAAAAAGTAAAAATGAATGAAACATAAGCAGCTTTAGTCAGAATATTGGAATTAGAAAATGCAGAAAAAATGTATTCATTATTAAAATATATTTTATAACTAAATATATAGTTTAGTATATATAGTTTAATATGTGCCATTTTCCCTTTTTACATTATAATTTATTTTTCTTATTTTTTGTGTTTAGTTTTGATTGTTGTATTTATTTTTCTTATTTTTTGTGTTTAGGTTTGATTTAGCAAATATAATTTCCCTTGCATAAATTAAGATTAATACTAAATCCAACAAAATCACTCAGATTAAACCAAATTTAAATGTAAAATGCTAAAAGAAATTTGTAAGATAATAGCCATATTAGAACAACGTAGAATATACTCAGGATCAAAACTTGTACTAAAAGCCAAAAGAATGTGGTTTTATTCGGTCGTTAAAAAAATGTTGATCAACAGGATTTCTTAAGACTAGATAAAAACCAAAACCCTGAACAATATCTGAGAACATTTCAGTGAGGAGACTAAGTGACCAAGTGTTTTTGAGCTGCTGTGGTTTAATGTGGAGTGTGAGTGTGGCTCGTGTGTCTCCGACACCTCATCAGGAGTGTTAATGATGCCCGGTGCGTCACCTCAGAAGCTATTAAAAGACCCCACGTGATCGACGAAGACTTTATCCCTGCGTTTGTTTGTTTACTAGACTGTGAAGGAAACAGGAAGTTGACAGCTCAGCCTGATGAACAGCTTTCATTTGATGCTGTCTAAATAAGATGGTGGAGGAAGAGGTCGTTTCTCTTTGTGGACTTTGAGAGTTTCTGCGGAAAACCCCGAAACTTTCCTCCTCACGTGTAGTGCAGGCTTGACATTTGTCTTTCATCAAACCTTCACAAGGTCATGAAATGTAAATTTGAAGAAGTTCTAAAAGATGATCTGCATATTTTAACACTTCCAGTGGCAGGCTTCTCCAGAGTGATGTCAGACATCGGCAAAGTAAATAGTTAAAATGAGAGAGAGTTTGTCAAGAGATTGTCCTTAGAAATGTTTTTTTTTAAAGATGAAAAAATAGGCTTAATTTGAGAAATTTGGTTTGAGTCTATTTCAGTGATGGGTAAAAATTGAGGATTCACAAAAAAGTCAGTAAAAAGATTGTTGTAGCATGTGATGAATTTATGTAAAAATGTCCCTCAAGTATATTGACAAGTGAAAATGTCATTTTCATAAATATGGACTACAGATAAAGCTTCATTTGTATAATAAATATGCAGCTCAGTGTATGTTGACAGTGTGTTGGAGAGACATCAGTGACCATTTGTTTGATGAGACAAAGACAAACAGACAAACACCGGCGTTGCTGTTGGAAAATTTAACAGATTTACTTGTGCATCAGGTTCAGCCAGGCTTTGTTTGGTCTGGATATGCTATAAAAAACACAACACACACACACACACACACACACACACAAACGCATTGTAATAAAGGCAAGCTTCTTGTCTCTGTTGCTTAGTAACGGTGGGAGCTCCAGAGCTGAATCCCCCACAGTGAGGAGCTGATGCTGAATTAGGAGGAATAGGAACAACAGGAAAATCTATGGGAAAGATGTTTCTGTGAACGCAGGACAAGGTGTTTGTTTGCATTTATTGATGGTCGTACTGTATGTCACACAAACCCTGCGTCGTTTGATGGTTGTGGATGGTTAGGGTTTACAGACAAAGAAACAGCATGGAATAGGACTGAATAGAATAGACCACAGCAGAACAGAATCTTGAGCAACAGAATGTTGCTTTTGTTCTTCCTATAAGCCCTACAGGAAACGTGGTGAACAAGTTATGCTAAAAGCAAACATTCAACTGTGTTTCTGTGGTCAGATTTTTTGTCTTAGTTTTTTTCTGAACAAATTATCTTCCAGTCTGTGTAATCCTTCTCTAGGTAAGGATGTTTTAACTTCCTTCTGTTGTTGAATCTCTATAGTATCGCCATATCAGCAAACACCACTGGTTCAAGCAAATGCTCAATCATTTTACCTTGTTATATTTCAGTGGTATAATATGAATGTAGTTGTGGATAGAAAGTATAGCAATGTGAGGTACCTACAGTAAGTACAGCTGGTATGTTGCTAAATACATTTAGAAATTCGAATATATGTGTTAAATATTCTTATTTTTACATAAAAAATTATTTAGAAATAAAACAACATTACCTGTGTACTTAGTTACCTTTACAGTACTAAAAAAAACAAAACACAGACTGTTGTGACTGTGTGAAGCTGCAGTTCGGTCGTGTGACCGCAGTGGCGCTGCTGCAGCAGTTATACTGCCTCCATGTGTTATTTGCATTTCAACTGCACTGGAGGACGAGGAGCTTTGATTTACTGCGCCCGTCCAGCAGCCAGGCTGCAGTGCTGTAGCTCGCGGCTTTCATCCTCTGGTTTGGATGTTCGTGATGCCCTGATGAGGGATATAACCAGAGCTGGAGTAAGTCACTCTGGATTAGACCTTCTGCTGACAGTTTCCACAGACTTTAATCACATAATCACAGCACAGTGACTGATACCAGTATCTGTTTACAACTGACACAGTATACACCACTGCATGGATCTCCACACCTGCCAATGTCATAGTCGTTTCTTTCTCATATGACTGATTTAAAAGAAACAGCTGGTAGTTTAAATTGTGAATGAAAACACAAATTCATTTCACTGTATGTGTACTGTATATATGTTCCAGACCACTCTGTAAAGTGCATTTCCTCAAAGCTCCCTTGGTAATGGAGTTCAACTTTACTTGTAATGTTTGGTTTCCTCAACCTGTGGCAAGAAATATGTAAATATTAGACAAATAAGATAAAATTAACCAAGAGATAAACCGTCGTAGAGTTAAACAAAAGATAACTGAAAGTTGGTTGAAAAAAATGTAAAATGTTACTTAGCAAAAAATAGCTAAAATAAACAAAAAGAGAACTAACTAGTAAGCCTAAATGATAGAGCAATAAACGTTAGCCAAAAATATACAAGGTTTAGAAGATAAACATGTTACAACCCTGACAAAGAATAAAATAGACAAAAGGGACAAAATAGACTGAAATAAATACATTTAAGTAAAAACAACTGCCAAAATAACTACAGAAAGCTAAAGGGTCTAAATAAAGTTCTGAACTTGTAATACGATCACACCAATTGAATTCACTATTATATTTGCAGTTAAACATAATAAATACAAACGCACAATGAAGCATATTAGTACAACACAGAAGCCATGAGTAAATGATTGAATGGAACATTCATTTCAAAATGGTATTTCAGCCAAACATTCAGCAATGAATAAAAGCTGAATAATTTTCGTTTTCGGATAATGTTATGCATTTTCAATATAGATATCTACTATGTAATATTTATAAAGAGAAGGATTTAGTATCAATAACCCATATCCCACCCACCGTGTACTATTGTCTTCGACCTGTGAAGAACACGTACTGCAGAGGGGTGTGGGAGGTGGTCCGCGCCACATAAAAAATCTGTTATTGACTTTAACAACGCATATATGTCAGTGGTTTTATATTCACTCTTAGCGTTTATGTATCATCAAAAATAAATAATGTATTTGTCTTAGCCGTAGCGCAAAGAGGGTCATTTAGTCAGACTTGCCCCCCCTCACTGCGGTTATGTTGGTACTGTCCGTATTATGAAGCGGTACTGTCCCTCTCTCCGCACTTCAGCGTAGACCCACGTCCACTCCTTCCAAGTGTCGGCGTGTGTTTCCTCTTCAACGACCGTGAGAAACAGGGATGCTGGCGGGGGAACCATGAAGCCCCTGCGTCTCTCACTACACCAACAGGAAACAAACACGGGTTATATTTCTTAAAACATTACAAGCACCATTGTCCGTATGAGAGAGTGTGGATATTGCGGGCCGTTTTTTATTTTTAAACTGCATGTGGTTTGAGCAGGAGCCGCCGCCGCAGCAGCAGGAGAAACTAACGGTCGTCTGACAGGTGCCGTCGCCCGGCTCTGCACCCACAGAGATGCCACCCGTCCAGAGAACCATGTCTGATCTTCGTACTCGGGCAGAGGGTATGTAAAGACAAATTTCTCTGTTTTTATATATCTCGTTTATCATTATGTCCGCAGTGTAAGCGGCTTATTAGTGAAACACAGGGCCGACCGACAGGTCAGTGAAGTAGAGTAGAGTAAGTTGCTAAAGCTAAAGCTGTGATTAGAAACAGAGCCGGGCTCAAGAAAAAAACAAAACAAACCTACGGTAAAGGATGAGGGCCACAAAGAAAATAGTGTTATAGTTTTTATCTTTCTGCATATTATACAAGACAACTATTTCCTGACTCAAATTTGTTGAAATTCTAATTTCAGTTAAAATAGTACTCGCTCCTCCGTGTATTTTAAAATAAGTAAATTACTTGGAATTTTAAGTCTTGAAATTGAAAACTCTCTCACTGCAATTACTCTTATACAGTATCTCAGGATAAAAAGATATCTCTTGGATTTGTTCATTTCGGTTGTGGTGCATAGTGAACTTTATAATAGCACATTTTCACTAAACAAGATAACAAACTACTAACAAACCACCTCAGCTTAGTTCTTGAATCATTTTAAGGTTATTTTTTATTTTGAATAGAAGCTGGTGTTTCTGTATGTGTCAAGTTCCAAAACAAAACTACATATAGAAAGAAGAAGACCTCAGCTTAGTTCTTGAATCATTTTACTTATAGAAAGAAGAAGTCCGTGGTCCAATGCTAACAGGAACTGCTTTTTCACTATCTAATCTCCTATCAAGTTTGTTGCAATTATGTTAATCACAAACACTTAAGCCACAATCCTATACATTTGAGTGCAATCAGCAGTTTTATTTGTTGATCTTAGTAAGAGAGGTTGAGCAGTTTTCAGATCAGCGTAAATCTTTCTCCTGCATATATGTATATACAGTATTTACGACACAAGAATTTGATACCGTTATTAAAACTTTTCAAAATACGAACAACTTACAGTAACATTTTTCTCTGTAACTTATAATGGTGTAGAAAGAAGAAATTGTGTACTCATATTGCCCAAATGTCTCAAGTAAATTAATGCATATGAGTGAACGCACAAAGTGACTTTCCATCACTGACAATAAGTAGTGTCCTGGCATCAACAGGAGCCCGGGTCTAATTATACATCCATTGTAATTTGGCTGAGTCTCTCTTTTCTTCACTGCACCAGAAACTTTCCACTGCATCTCACTTGTTTGCCAGCAAAAAGAGGATGGAGATATACATTGTTAGATTGATATGGACAGTTGTATGAGAGCCTCTTTGTTTACTTTGGTTTTAGAAATGGGTATTGATGCTTAGGTGTGTTTGCTTGTTTACGTGACTTTAGATCACTGTAGGTGCAATAGCAAGGGCCTTGAACGAACGGATACTTCTGGAAAAGCTTTTAAATCCTTAATGAAAGAGGCTTTTACGTAATAAAAGCCTCTTCCATAAATTCCATTTAGTTTAACAGTTAAGTGAGTCCTGAAATCATCAATAAGTTGCCAGAAGACGTTATCCCAGAAATAAACCATAGTCAGAATTAGATGAAAAGTGCTTAAACATAGCTCTCCATAGCCAGGAATAGGTCAATAACAAACTATTGAACACAGTATCTATCGAATTACAACATATGATCAAATTGCTCTTTAAAAGAGCAAAATAAACTCCAGAAACACATTTCCTCGCACCTGCCCTGGTCCTAAAGCTGTTTTTATGAAGCCTTTAAATTCAGCCTGTGACTGTTTTATGGCAGTCCCTGACCTCTGTCACCTCTCAAGAAACAAAATAATTTATCTACATGGATCTATAATGTATAATATTTACAACACCTTCTGCTGTGTTATTTCCCTTGACACTAAATTCATTAATACTTTGTTGTTTGATTGAATACAATCGGCTCAGAGCTAATATAACCGTCTGAGTTAGAGCAGATCTGAGGTGCCAAAAAAGGCAACTTTTCATCCTCTACCAAATTGAAATGAGCAAATTGATTTCTTTTGAGTGCTGCAGCAACTTCAACTTTCAAATCCAATCATTTATAAAGCACAGAACCAAAGTGCTTTTTTTTTTTTTCATTTGCAATAAAATACATAAATGACGTAAGACAGGCAAGCACTTTTCTGGCACAATTGAGTTTAAGAATTTGTTGAACTCAGACTGGAACTTTTTCTGTAGTTTGGTCAATTCAAACCAATTTCGTAAATGCAGGCAATGCATTGAACCAACAGTATTACAAAATTACATTGATTGAGTGCCCTGCAAGCTGATCCTGGTCTTCCTCCCCCAAATGTTTTCTCTGACAGCATCCGGCTTTCATTCAGGTGTGTTTACTGCTACCTACCATACAAACATACAGAAATGTAGTAAATCCAATGGTAATGGAAGGACCTGTGTCTATGTCGGTAAATTGCGTTTATGTGAGTAAATATTATATAATTCTTATCATGATTTTAAGGTAGCTCCACTTCTTTTTTATATATAATATAAGTATATTATATTAATAGTTATATCAATAGTAGTTCTGGGGCTAAAAAAATGAGTTTCAAAGGATGTGAGCAGTAGGTTTCTCCTAGCTGACATTACACATCATTCTGGGACTTCCCTTTAGTAGTCCTGGTTTTAAAGTGCTACTTAAGCTCACTGTAAACATGAACGATCTTGTCATTCCTTGTACCACAGCAGCAATCCTGGTCTGAGTCCACTGAAGAATGAGTGGTATCATCATTGAAATCTAAATAATTGAACACGAGATGGATACTATAGTAAACTGCTGATCAATGTGGCTGCTGCAGTCTCAATAGCAAACAAATGAATTATGCAGTAGCTTATATTGTGGCCCCCAACCCCCAACTCCAGCACCCTTTGCTACCACACTGGCTTATAGGAGTGAATCCTTCCACTGTTTTCCAGTTGGATTTTCACCTCACCTTCCTCGTGTTTTTTTCCCCACACGTGTCCATCAGAATATTAGTTTCAATCATACTCTCTTCTCTGCCAAATGAGTAACCTGAGTTGATGGTCCTGCATCAACATTTCCAGCCCCAAGGCTCGATTTATTTTTGCTGTATCTGCTTTGTGGCTGCTCCCTCTGCAACATTTCTCCTCGGCTGTTTTAATAAGAGCCCGAGCGACCTTCTCACCCTTCAGTTTAATTTTTTAATCACACAGTGCATCTGGCAGCCTCCCATCTATAAAGGCCAGCTCTCTGCCAGGGCTTACCACATAATCCATCAGCAGCCTGTCTGTCAGCTTCCCCAGGGCTGCACACTCCCCATTCTTACCCACCACGTGCAGCTTGTCACTCTTTTCTTTATTCCCTGTGAAAACATCTAATATCACTGACAGACTTTGTCTGCGTTTGTTGCCCAGAAAACACCTGATCTGCAAGACTTGGGTGTAGATGTGATGTCAGAAGTTATCAGAATGTTTTATTTCAGCTGACTGTCACCATGTCATCAGTAATAGGCAGGAAGGTTCCCTAATACCTGCTTCCATTTCCTTCCTGGAGATTTTGATTGATAGGAGCCTTGCAGGTTTACACAGTCCAGATGGCTAAAAGCGGCCTGTTAGCTGTCTTAGTTGTTGTGCTTATCCTCACACAGACTGAATCCCCTCTTGCAATTGACACCTACGGAGAGAAGAGACAGTTAAACCAGTCTTGGAAGAATTAAGTGGCAGGCCAAAAAAGTTGCTATTTTATTAGTGGTATGCATCAGTAGATCTGAAAAATGTGACGCTGCTCTAACGTATCCATTGCCTGATTATAAGTACTCTAAATAGAAGGATGATAGCAGAAATAAAGACTCTAGGTGGCACTGATAAAGAATGTATTAGATTCATAATTTCCCACAACTTCGCAGTGCCCCCCCACGGTTAGCCTTACTGTTAGTCGATTGATCCTCATCTCTAGATACCAGGGTGTGTGTGACATGGGACCAAAGGTCATCTCATATCACCTAGTTTTCCCAGGTATTTTATTATCATCTCATCACTCCATGTGATGGTGATGTCAGAGATAAGCAGTTTGGAAATAGGAAATAGGCTTTTTGAAGACTACTGAGGGCTGCCCTTATGCCTGTTGGATCATCGGCTGATAAAATGTTGCACAAAAGCCCTACACGCTACGAAATCCCCTGTCTGGGGGCTGCTGCTGTGTAATATGAAGTCCCCTTAGGCTTCTGTATTCGTTCTTCGCTCTGTCATGGGACATCTCCTTCTGTGCTCTATTTTCTGCCTCCATTACTGACCTGCAGCCAGTCTAATTCATGTTCCTTCAGACACTCATTTTCTCCACCTCACCTCAGTGATTCAGCTCTGTCTGTGAGGCAAAGTGAACTTTGGTCTCTGTCAGGAGGAAGAGAGATGTGAAAACACTTATGCACAAATGTTTATTAAAAGGATACTTAAGGCATGATGTTTAGAGTTTTTTCTGATAAGAATTTGCAGTGTCATTTCTTTTGAACAAGAAACAGGAAATGCATTACCTTATTGCAGTATAAAGTAATGCAATAAATGATTTTAGAAGGGCTGCTAGATACCATGGTAAAGGGCAGTGTCTGTAACAAATATGCAATTTCATCAATCATGTGATCCTAGACAAGAGAAGACTATTCCTACAATTGACTTCCCATGCTTAAAATGTCAACTATTCATCCTATTGTTATGAATTTAACACGATTTACCCACAATTTGCAGCGTTTTCCTTAATTTTGCGCGATCGGCTGATTTCTTTTTGTGACACTGATCGTATCTACTGATCGTATCCACCTCGGCTCTGCAGTGAGAGACGGCTAAGTGGCAGACCCCAAAAATTTCAATCGGTGCACGTGTAATTGTTATGTGATGGTGTCCTAATAAAACATTACTTAAATCAGTGACTCTTTCCATGAAAACGGTACCAAAGGTAATCCTGCTTTTAATAGATGATCTGAGCTCATCCATGTTGTTAAGGACTGAGTCCTGTATCACTAAGAAACGAGTATCGCTTCGATATTCATTTTTAAGGATGTTTGTGCGTGTGCTGTGCACACGTGTTGATTGTGA